ATAAAAGCATGGGAGACTGCCAGGAAGGTGTGGCCTGCCAGACAGACAGTCTTTTGACCACAACTCACATCCAAGACCCCATTCATCCTGAGTTTATCTGTAACATCATAAGCCTTTTTGTTTCTGAGCTTTAAAGAAATGTAATGTTATAATAAATAGCTCCTTATTTTCAAACATTTTTGCTGTGGGCATTGTTTTCTTTCCCTTTTTTGAGTGTGTCGAGTCAGTTTTTTTCCAAAATAATCCAGAGCTTGTACAACGTGACTAAAAATGTGCCCAAAATGTATTTTAAAAAAACCCCAAACAAACAAAAAAAGTAAAAAATGACTTGAAACTTTTAGTGAATGACTAAAAACTTTTAAAAAAAAGAAATTTTAAAATGCTGGCAATCATGAAGTCAGTACGACTCAGTGAGTTGCAGCTGTAACACCCGTGAAATGCTGCTCTAGTGAACACTCCTCCTCCAGTGGGGAGTCACAGTCCGGCCACCAAAGTTTAACCTGGTCTTTAGCTTCCTCGAAACTATCGATAATCCCGATTGCTGGTTTGTCTTCATCGCAGAACTTGAGGTTCTTTCTCAGTTGATCAGCATCAAACTCCAGTGTCTGAAAAAGAAAAAGAACAGAAAAAAAACAAGCAACAATTTTCATGTTTATAAAATATGACCAATGGAAATTGTTCGCACAAGTGAAGGTGAAACGAAGAGTCGATGTACAGAAAACTTAACACAAAGATACCGAACAGTTCATGATTCCAGTCAATCAAATGAACTTTTCTTTTCGATGATTCCAACGCCTTCTGATGTAATTGGACAAAACGGAGGTTGCACATAAAAGGGACATTTTTCAAAAAGGAAGGACATTTTTTTTTTTTTTTTTTTTTTTTTTAATAAAAACTTTTTTGAAAACTGAGGATGTTTTTTCGAAACATTAAACATTAAAGGCTTCAGTTGTTTATAGAGAATAAGAAGTGAAGATACCTGTTTGTCCACATGCAGGGCGATGGCGACGTTATCCCAAATATAAAACTCTGTTTCTGGCCAAGGAAGCATCTCAACGTCCATCTGGTTTATTTCATTTCTTTCCACCAGCTTATACCTGACAGGAAAGCCAAATAGCAACAACAACAGTATAATCAACTACACAAATCAGGTGAAGACATTTTCACACAGTTGATAGATCCTTCTACTATTGGTGTTCTGGTTTTGGCTCTTTTGGTTCAGCCCATTGCATTTATCTGTTTGTAGGTCTTACCCGTGTGTCTTACTTATGGCGTACGGCCTCCAGATGAAGCGGCCATCTTTGTAAACACAGACGGCGTTCGGGTCGTCAGTCAGCAGAGGATACTTGGAGAAGCGCTCCTGATTGGCTGGACTGTGGACCAACACAGTGTGCTGGACTTCCTGTTTGTACAGGACAGTTTCATACACCCGCATGACCGGCTGATCCCCGGAACAAAACTGAAACAACACCAGATGTTTTACTGGAGGACTCTGACCTCACTGTACAAGAAGGACTCATTCATCAGAGTCTCTGTAAATGTACCAACAACAACACAGATTATCATCACTGATGGCAGATTAGCACTCATCACAGGACAGATGACATTTTGTGTTTTTTGTAGTTATTTTGTGTCTTTTTATCTTGAGTAATGTTTGAATGTATTATTTTGTAAAAGACATTGGTAGCCCAGCGTTGACACACACGCCATGCCCAGATACTGGTACATAGTGTACCTCTTGCTGTAGCTGTTTTGCACTGATAAGTCACCACATCCTCCCTATGAGGTGACCGCAGCAGCTACAGCACACGACAACAAACAAAGGAAAAGTACTAACAGCCGGAGAGTGGTAAATATTAGTAGGGGGGGATCTCTTTACAGGGCGCGGTTGCTGAGGATTGGATGAATCGTGTACCAAGAAATATCAGCATCTGTGCAACTACGAAGGGAGAGCTAAGTCTAAACCACGGTTTCTCCTCAACCATGTAACCATTCACATTGCACCATTCGAATTAAATGTTTGTGTTCACTAGCCAATCACACTGCACTCTACTGTATAAGATTTTTATGCTCACTTGAAATTCCTACTGCCTGTGATTTTCTGAACCAGTGCTGGATACTTGATCAAGTGATAGACTGGTGACCTGTCCAGGTGTCCCCTGCCTTCACCCTGAGTCAGCTGGGATAGACTCCAGCCCCCCATGACCCTAGTGAGGATTAAGCGNACGATTTAGTTGGCAGATTTGTGAAAAATCTCATAAAATGCCTTTACTATATCAAGTTACTTGGATTTAAGAGTGAAGTTTTGCTTGTTTTGCCTAAAAACATTAATTTGCTTTTTCAAAATATGAGCCACAGTATTGAAGTCTTTTATACAGTCTATGAGTCTAACTCTGCGTGACGACAGTAAGAAAAAATAAGTTCAAACCTACCCACATGAGAACATGACCACCCAGTTCTCTCATGTCCCTGAATGCATCACCAGTCGTCAGTTTCCGTAGTGTAGTGGTTATCACGTTCGCCTCACACGCGAAAGGTCCCCGGTTCGAAACCGGGCGGAAACATTCTTTATTCTGAAATGACGGTTCAAAATGTGAAGTGAGACAATGTACATTTTAAATTATTGTTTCCAACGTTCGTTCATCGGAGTATGACAAAAGTCTAAGTTTGTGTCTAATGTTATTTCTTCCAGACCTCAGCTCCAGATCAGACGTGCTACAGTATCTCAGCTTCAAACTGTCCTGGAAGCAGTGAGAAGATAAGAAAACATAAACGTTTATTAATCCTAAATTCTTGTATCACATACTGCTCAGAAAAAAACCCCCAAATAACACACGAAATGCAGCCTCGAAGCAGAAAGCAATAATATGGAAGTGCATACATGACTGAAATAAATGAGAAGGTAAAATAAGTCCAGAATAGAAAATTAAAAAAAAAAAAAAATAAATGCTGGCAGTTATGCTGAGGTACTATCAAACAAAAACAATAAAATAATGAAAGAAAATATTACACCTGAAAAATTACGTTTAAAAAAATTAAATACTAAAATGAGATGTTGCACATTAAAAATGCATCATAAACAAATTACACAGTGAAAACAGGTCATTGTGCTGCAATAACACTTCACTATCGACCAACTTTTTTAATGTCAATACTAATCCAATCGATACAGATAGCATGATTGATTGATTGATTGATTGATTGATTGATTGATTGATTGATTGATTGATCGAGAGACACGCTTTTACTACATAGCAGTAAAACAGAAGGCCTCCATCTTACATGTTGACTTGCAGACAAAACACTGTTAACGTACCAACCTGACTGAAAAGCAGAATTATCCCACCTGCTAAAAATGCTACAATCCAAAGTGGTGAAACAGCGCCCCCTGCTAGTGGCCAAAAATATACCACATAGACGGTTTTAAAAGCACATTTTAAATGGCTCCAAGTGACTTTTCTGACTTGTTCACGTCAGCGATTTGCTTTTTCAGATCTTTGCTGAGCTCCAGAAACTCTACCACTGTAGTTTTTGTGGCTGAGTCTAAAAATGGGATCAAATCTTAATTAATTTAATTTAATTTAATTTAATTTAATTTAATTTAATTTAATTTAATAGGAGTCATCAGTTGTAGTCAACCGTAATCACTCACAAGAAAGAGGCCACTGAGAAAATTTGATTAACAAAACTTTCATTCAGCGTCCGGAAGGTTAAGAGAGAGAAATTCTGAACCTTGTACATAAATGTGTCCAAATGTGGATTTTTATTATTGCTAAAGAACTTTAAATGCAAACATTTTTTATTTTATTTTTTTATTAAAATGAATTGGTTTAAATACTTTGTACAACCTAACAGACTGTACTATCAGCTAAATAAATATATTTAAATTGAAACTGCTCCAGAATGGATGCTTTTATTGAGTAATATTAGAATTATTGTAAAGCTAATAGTAATATTTCCCTGGAAGTACAAAACTTTTTTACACAAGAGAGCAGCTAAAGCGCTCTGTGTTTTCTGTTGTTCAAAAGAAAAGTCTTATGAGCACTTCTTGTTACAAAAATGAAATGAAAATGGATTTGATTAAATTAGCTTCAACTTTATTGTCATTGCACACAGTACAAGTATTACGACAGCAATTTAACCAGAAGTGCAAAAGAAGAAGAAAAAAGTGCATCACTGGCAGTGTTAGCATACGGCCTCCAGTGTATAAACAGAGTGGTACAAACACCACGAAGCATTACATGTAAAAGCTGTAGATAACATACATTAATAGAAAGCTGGACAAATGCACATATAAAGGTGCCGATAGTGGTGCAGGCTGTAGAAACAATGTGAGATATATGCAGTACATATACAGGCTGAATGGTACGAACAGTGGATCAGAGATCTGATGGAACATGCACATTGTAGGAGCCAGAATGATTGTTTTCCTTCTTTATTAATTTCTGTTCTTCTTGAGTTAACCCCATCGAGTGGCTGAAGGATGGGGATAAAAGCATGGGAGACTGCCAGGAAGGTGTGGCCTTCCAGACAGAGACAGTCTTTTGACCACAACTCACATCCAAGACCCCATTCATCCTGAGTTTATCTGTAACATCATCAGCCTTTTTGTTTCTGAGCTTTAAAGAAATTTAATGTTATAATAAATAGCTCCTTATTTTCAAACATTTTTGCTGTGGACATTGTTTTCTTTCCCTTTTTTGAGTGTGTCGAGTCAGTTTTTTCCAAAATAATCCAAAGCTTGTCCAACGTGACTAAAAATGTGCCCAAAATGTATTTTTAAAAAACCCCACACAAACAAAAAAAGTAAAAAATGACTTGAAACTTTTAGTGAATGACTAAAAACTTAAAAAAAAAAAAGAAATTTTAAAATGCTGGCGATCATGAAGTCAGTACGACTCAGTGAGTTGCAGCTGTAACACCTGTGAAACGCTACTTTAGTGAACACTCCTTCTGCAGTGGGGAGTCACAGTCCGGCCACAAACTCTCAACCTGGTCTTTAGCTTCCTCGAAACTATCGAAAGTCCCGATTGCTGGTGTGCCTTGAGGGCAGAACTTGAGGTTCTTTCTCAGCTGATCAGCATCAAACATCAGCATCTGAAAAAGAAAAAGAACAGAAAAAAAACAAGCAACAATTTTCATGTTTATAAAATATGACCAATGGAAATTGTTTGCACAAGTGAAGGTGAAACGAAGAGTCGATGTACAGAAAACTTAACACAAAGATACCGAACAGTTCATGATTCCAGTCAATCAAATGAACTTTTCTTTTCGATGATTCCAACGCCTTCTGATGTAATTGGACAAAACGGAGGTTGCACATAAAAGGGACATTTTTCAAAAAGGAAGGACATTTTTTTTTTTTTTTTTTTTTTTTTTAATAAAAACTTTTTTGAAAACTGAGGATGTTTTTTCGAAACATTAAACATTAAAGGCTTCAGTTGTTTATAGAGAATAAGAAGTGAAGATACCTGTTTGTCCACATGCAGGGCGATGGCGACGTTATCCCAAATNCACAGACTTGCTACTTCATCAGTCTGCAGGTTCTTGATGGGTTTAAGTCAGGACTTTGGGGAACCAATGCTAAAACCTTTATTCCAGCTTGATTTAACTATTTCTTTACCACATTTGATGTGTGTTTGGCTCAATTGCTTGTTGAAACACCCAACTGCCTCCAAGATCCAACGTTCTGACTGATGTTTTAGGTTTTCCTGAAGACTATGAAGGTAATCCTCCTTCTTCATTGTTCCATTTTCTTTGTGTAACGCTCCACTTCTACCAGCAGCAAAACAGCCCTAGATGACAATAGTGCCACCACCATGCTCACTGGGGCCAAAAAGCTTAATTTTTGTTTCATCTGACCACAGAACTTTATTTGAGAAGGCTTTTTCTTTGTCCATGTGATCAGCAGCAAACTTCAGTGGAGCTTCAAGGCTCTGCTTCTAGAGGAAGAACTTCCTTCTTCATGCAGCCTTTCAGCTCATGTTGATGTAAAACACTGTGGAGACTGACAGCCAGTGGCGGTTCGAGACAAAAGTGTACGTAGGGAACAGCAAAGGTTCCACACATCAACTGAGAGGGGTAACTTTGTGCAATTATCACAATAAACAAAATAACAATAGAGTAAAATATATAGTGTATATTGTATATATTACTAATACAACAATACATATATAGTTAGCCCACAACCACTGCTGCACCACTGACCCTGTTACACATACATCTCATTTAATGAGTAACGTTAACCGTCTATACTTAGCACGAGTGAATACCGCTAATTACTTTAGTCACTGTTGGTCCTATAAAACAGTCCTGCACTATGTCGTGTCCTCGCGGAGGTGGTGACGTCATCAAGTACGCTGATGTTCCAATTGCACATTAACCACGAGTCCGGATATGTCCAGGAGACGGCACCAAGAGCAGAGTCCAGCTACAGTTTAGGTGCGTCACTCTAAGTAATCGCATAGAGCAGAGAGCCATTTTGTCATTGTTAGAAAGTGATCAGTTTATTGCTCAGTCAGCACAGGGGCCTACAGGGCCACTGGCCCCAGAAGGCCCCTGTGTAGAACCGCCACTGCTGACAGCTGTGTTCCAGCAGCTTCTAATTCTTTCAGAGCCTCTGTTTGGTGATTCTTGGTTGATTCTTGATCATCCTGACCAATCGTCTCTCAGCAGCAGGTGATAGTTTGTGTTTTCTTCCTGATCGTTGCAGTGACACAACCGTACCATGAACTTTGTACTCACAAACAAAAGGTTTGCACAGATGATTTTGGGATTTATAGCTGCTTTGAAAAGGTTACAAGTGGTTTTCTGACTTGTTCAAGTCAGTGATTTGCTTTTTCAGATGTTTGCTGAGACCCTCAGACTTTGCCATTGTTGTGTTTGTGGTGGAGTCTAAAAAGTGACTCAAGTGGGTCCCACTTAAATTGCCTCAGAGGAGTCACCAGCTGTCGTCAATCATAATCACTCACAAGAAGGTTTGAGAGCAGATTTTGCCATATTTCCAGAAGACCTTTATTGAATCTATGAAAGAACCAAAATATACGACTGTTTTTGTGATGTGTTTCCATCACAGAAAATTCAGAGAAGTCATTGGAAACTCAAGACTGCTATGATATACACTGTCTTTACAAGTGTACGGACACTTTTGTTCACGACTGTATTAGTGGCTGCTGGTGAAAATGTTTGGTGGGGGGGTGATATAAGTAGATTTTTTTTTTTTCGGCTTGTGGAAAGATCTGCTTGAACTGATGTAATTAAAACCAGCTCAGTGTAAAGCGTAATATGAGTAACATCAGGGACAACTATTTACAGGAATACAAATGTTCTGCCTTTGGAGGAAAAACCTTCAGCAAACTNGTACCAACCTGACTGAAAAGCAGAATTATCCCACCTGCTAAAAATGCTACAATCCAAAGTGGTGAAACAGCGCCCCCTGCTAGTGGCCAAAAATATACCACATAGACGGTTTTAAAAGCACATTTTAAATGGCTCCAAGTGACTTTTCTGACTTGTTCACGTCAGCGATTTGCTTTTTCAGATCTTTGCTGAGCTCCAGAAACTCTACCACTGTAGTTTTTGTGGCTGAGTCTAAAAATGGGATCAAATCTTAATTAATTTAATTTAATTTAATTTAATTTAATTTAATTTAATTTAATTTAATAGGAGTCATCAGTTGTAGTCAACCGTAATCACTCACAAGAAAGAGGCCACTGAGAAAATTTGATTAACAAAACTTTCATTCAGCGTCCGGAAGGTTAAGAGAGAGAAATTCTGAACCTTGTACATAAATGTGTCCAAATGTGGATTTTTATTATTGCTAAAGAACTTTAAATGCAAACATTTTTTATTTTATTTTTTTATTAAAATGAATTGGTTTAAATACTTTGTACAACCTAACAGACTGTACTATCAGCTAAATAAATATATTTAAATTGAAACTGCTCCAGAATGGATGCTTTTATTGAGTAATATTAGAATTATTGTAAAGCTAATAGTAATATTTCCCTGGAAGTACAAAACTTTTTTACACAAGAGAGCAGCTAAAGCGCTTTGTGTTTTCTGTTGTTCAAAAGAAAAGTCTTATGAGCACTTCTTGTTACAAAAATGAAATGAAAATGGATTTGATTAAATTAGGTTCAACTTTATTGTCATTGCACAGAGTACAAGTGACAACAATTTAACCAGAAGTGCAATACAAGAAGAAAAAAGTGCATCACTGGCAGTGTTAGCATACGGCCTCCAGTGTATAAACAGAGTGGTACAAACACCACGAAGCATTACATGTCAAAGCTGTAGATAACATAAATTAATAGAAAGCTGGACAAATGCACATATAAAGGTACCGATAGTGGTGCAGGCTGTAGAAACAATGTGAGATATATGCAGTACATATACAGGCTGAATGGTACGAACAGTGGTCAGAGATCTGATGGAACATGCACATTGTAGGAGCCAGAATGATTGTTTTCCTTCGTTATTAATTTCTGTTCTTCTTGAGTGAACCCCATCGAGTGGCTGAAGGATGGGAATAAAAGCATTGAAGACTGCCAGGAAGGTGTGGCCTTCCAGACAGACAGTCTTTTGACCACAACTCACATCCAAGGCCCCATTCATCCTGAGTTTATCTGTAACATCATAAGCCTTTTTGTTTCTGAGCTTTAAAGAAATTTAATGTTATAATAAATAGCGCCTTATTTTCAAACATTTTTGCTGTGGACATTGTTTTCTTTCCCTTTTTTGAGTGTGTCGAGTCAGTTTTTTTCCAAAATAATCCAGAGCTTGTCCAACGTGACTAAAAATGTGCCCAAAATGTATTTTTAAAAAAAACCCAAACAAACAATAAAAGTAAAAAATGACTTGAAAGTTTCAGTGAATGACTAAAAACTTTTTTAAAAAAAAGAAACTTAAAAACACTGGCGATCATGAAGTCAGTACGACTCAGTGAGTTGCAGCTGTAACACCTGTGAAATGCTGCTCTAGTGAACACTCCTCCTCCAGTGGGGAGTCACAGTCTGGCCACAAAAGTTTAACCTGGTCTTTAGCTTCCTCGAAACTATCGAAAGTCCCGATTGCTGGTGTGCCTTCATCGCAGAACTTGAGGTTCTTTCTCAGCTGATCAGCATCAAACTCCAGTGTCTGAAAAAGAAAAAGAACAGAAAAAAAACAAGCAACAATTTTCATGTTTATAAAATATGACCAATGGAAATTGTTCGCACAAGTGAAGGTGAAACGAAGAGTCGATGTACAGAAAACTTAACACAAAGATACCGAACAGTTCATGATTCCAGTCACTCAAATGAACTTTTCTTTTCGATGATTCCAACGCCTTCTGATGTAATTGGACAAAACGGATGTTGCACATAAAAGGGACATTTTTCAAAACACAGACATTTTTTCATAAAAGCTTTTTTGAAAACTCAGGATGTGTTTTTGAAACATTAAACATTAAAGGCTTCAGTTGTTTATAGAGAATAAGCAGTGACTGACAAGATTTCTATGCTCACTTGAAACTCCTGCTGCCTGTGATTTTCTGAACCAGTGCTGGATACTTGATCAAGTACATTTTTACACTGCAGAATAAACAGCATTAAACGAGAGAAGTTGTTTGTCGTCTATATTCTACAATTCTGCAATTTCATTTGGCAGACGCTTTTATCTAAAGCAACGTACATCTGAGAGCAGATACAACACAAGCAAGGATCTAGTCAGGAGAAAACAACCTGGATAAGTGCCATAGAACAAGTTCAAGTGTGACACGGCGTTGATGCCAATAGCAGGCTGCATGGGAGGTAGCAGGACTTTTTTTGGTTTTTGGTTTTTGTTTTTCGTGTGTTTGTTTCGGGCTGTCAGGTGCAAAGGTGTGAAGGTTGAAGAGCTGGGTCTTTAGTCTTTTTTTCTCGTTGTGGTTTTGTATGCAAGTGTCAGGGTTTTGAATTTGATGCGGGCAGCAACTGGAAGCCCATGAAGCGATCTGAACAGTGGGGTGACGTGCTGTTTTTGGCTGGTTGAAAACCAGACGTGCTGCTGCGTTCTGGATCATCTGCAGAGGTTTGACCGTGGATGCGGGGAGGCCTGCCACTAAGGAGTTGCAGTCGTCAATGCATGATATTATTAGAGCTTGTGCCAGGAGTTGTGCTGCATGTTCAGACAAGAAAGGTCTGATCTTCCTGATGTTGTACAGAGCGAATCGACACGACCGAGCAACAGAGGCCACATGAACCTTGAAGGTTAGTTGGTCATCAATCGTGACACCCAAGTTTTGACCTATATCAAAACACGAACACGCCTCAACAGTAAGTAATGTCTGCCTCTACATTCATAACTTGTAAACGTTTACGTATTTTCTTTAATGGCCCTGTGATAGACTGGTGACCTGTCCAGGGTGTCCCCTGCCTTCACCCTGAGTCAGCTGGGATAGACTCCAGCCCCTCATGACCCTAGCGAAGATTATAAGCGGTGTATAGATGATGGATGGATGCTCTTTAAAGTTGTTGTGTCTTTTGTTGTTACTTTGTGTCTCTTTGTCTTTATTTTGTAGTTATTTGTGTCTATTTGTAATCTTTTTGTTTCTATTTGTGGTTACTTTGTGTTTTGTGGTCATTTTGTTNGATTGGATGAATCGTGTACCAAGAAATATCAGCATCTGTGCAACTACGAAGGGAGAGCTAAGTCTAAACCACGGTTTCTCCTCAACCATGTAACCATTCACATTGCACCATTCGAATTAAATGTTTGTGTTCACTAGCCAATCACACTGCACTCTACTGTATAAGATTTTTATGCTCACTTGAAATTCCTGCTGCCTGTGATTTTCTGAACCAGTGCTGGATACTTGATCAAGTGATAGACTGGTGACCTGTCCAGGTGTCCCCTGCCTTCACCCTGAGTCAGCTGGGATAGACTCCAGCCCCCCATGACCCTAGTGAGGATTAAGCGATGTATAGATAATGGATGGATTTTCTTTAATGGAGAACTGAAGCTATAAATACAGTCGTGAACAAAGGTTTTCATCCACTTGTAGAGACCATGTGTATCATGGTAGTCTTGAGTTTCCGATGACTCCTGTAACTCAGAATTTTCTGTGATGGAAACATTGAAACACATGCGTCACCAAACAAAACAATGATGCATCTTGTTGTTGTTGTTTTGTTTTTTTTTTTGAGATTTTTGAAGGTCTTTTGGAAATCAGACCAAATCTGCTGGGTCAAAAATATAGGTACAAAAATGTTCATATTTGTTGAAACGTCCTTTTGCCATTTTCACCTCAGCTAGACACTTGTGGTAGCCGTCTAGAAGCTTGTGGTTGTTTCTTTGATCACTGATCTTGACAGAATTGGTGCAGTTCAACTACATTCGTTGTCTTTCTGGCACAGACTTGCTACTTCATCAGTCTGCAGGTTCTTGATGGGTTTAAGTCAGGACTTTGGGGAACCAATGCTAAAACCTTTATTCCAGCTTGATTTAACTATTTCTTTACCACATTTGATGTGTGTTTGGCTCATTGTCTTGTTGAAACACCCAACTGCCTCCAAGATCCAACGTTCTGACTGATGTTTTAGGTTTTCCTGAAGACTATGAAGATAATCCTCCTTCTTCATTGTTCCATTTTCTTTGTGTAACGCTCCACTTCCACTGGCAGCAAAACAGCCCCAGATGACAATAGTGCCACCACCATGCTTGATGGTAGGTCACTGGGGCCAAATAGCTTAATTTTTGTTTCATCTGACCACAGAACTTTACTTGAGAAGGCTTTTTCTTTGTCCATGTGATCAGCAGCAAACTTCAGTGGAGCCTTAAGGTTGTGTTTCTAGAGGAAGAACTTCCTTCTTCATGCAGCCTTTCAGCTCATGTTGATGTAAAACACTGTGGAGACTGACAGAAGGCCCCTGTGTAGAACCGCCACTGCTGACAGCTGTGTTCCAGCAGCTTCTAATTCTTTCAGAGCCTCTGTTGGTGATTCTCGGTTGATTCTTGATCATCCTGACCAATCGTCTCTCAGCAGCAGGTGATAGTTTGTGTTTTCTTCCTGATCGTTGCAGTGACACAACCGTACCATGAACTTTGTACTCACAAACAAAAGGTTTGCACAGATGATTTTGGGATTTATAGCTGCTTTGAAAAGGTTACAAGTGGTTTTCTGACTTGTTCAAGTCAGTGATTTGCTTTTTCAGATGTTTGCTGAGACCCTCAGACTTTGCCATTGTTGTGTTTGTGGTGGAGTCTAAAAAGTGACTCAAGTGGGTCCCACTTAAATTGCCTCAGAGGAGTCACCAGCTGTCGTCAATCATAATCACTCACAAGAAGGTTTGAGAGCAGATTTTGCCATATTTCCAGAAGACCTTTATTGAATCTATGAAAGAACCAAAATATACGACTGTTTTTGTGATGTGTTTCCATCACAGAAAATTCAGAGAAGTCATTGGAAACTCAAGACTGCTATGATATACACTGTCTTTACAAGTGTACGGACACTTTTGTTCACGACTGTATTAGTGGCTGCTGGTGAAAATGTTTGGTGGGGGGGTGATATAAGTAGATTTTTTTTTTTTCGGCTTGTGGAAAGATCTGCTTGAACTGATGTAATTAAAATCAGCTCAGTGTAAAGCGTAATATGAGTAACATCAGGGACAACTATTTACAGGAATACAAATGTTCTGCCTTTGGAGGAAAACCTTCAGCAAACTTTCATCAGCATTTACAGGATCTGTACAAACTCAAAACACACAACATCAATAATGGAAAAACAAACAAACCACTATTCAGGGCTCCAGACGAACTTTTCACTGGTAGCACCAGTACGACCCACTTTCTCATTTTGTTGCATCTCCCATCTGGTCAAAGGCAAAACATCTGAACATTTTCTTATCGATAGACACTATGATTTACTGATGCTCCCTAAACGCCCCACATAGCAGGCTGTGAGAGCTGCTGTTTGGTGGCTGTGGTGTGCTCTGACAGGTGTGTGACCAAAAATGACTTTAAAAAT